GCCAAGGCAGGACTCTTGAGCCCAGGAGTTTGTGATGAACCTGGCAACATAGCAAGACCCCCATTTCTATAAAAATTAGTGGCACGGTGGCTCACGCCTGTAATTCTAGCACTTTGGGAGGCTGAGGTGGGCAGATCACTTGAGGTCAAGAGTTCGAGACCAGCCTGACCAACATGGTAAAACCCCATGCCTACTAAAAATGCAAAAATAATTAGCCGCGTGTGGTTGCGGGCACCTGTAGTCCCACCTACTCGGGAGGCTGAGGCAGGAGAATTGCTTGAACCTGGAAGGCAGGGGTTGCAGTGAGCCAAGATCGTGCCACTGCACTCTAGCCTGGGCAACAAAGTAAGACTCCGTCTCAAAAGAAAAAAGCCAGGTGTGGTGTTGCATGCCTGTAGTCCCAGCTGCTACTCAGGAGGCTGAGGTGGGAGGATCGCTTGAGCCCAGGAGGTTGAAGCTGCAGTGAGCTATGATTACACCACTGCACTCCAGCCTGGACAACAGAAGGACCCCATCTCCAAAAAAAAAAGAAAGAAAAATGCAATTAATTTCTCATGGCCAGCATGAGAAGTTTTACCTATCACAATTTTAGTACAAATGGCCATTTGCCCACAAAAATTTATTTTTATTAGGCTATTAACTGCCTTTAACTATTTTCATCAGAAGAATATGGCTTATCCTTCTTCCACCAAGCATTCAGTTGCCTCTACTGTGATGGGTAGTAGTTATTGTCAACCTTTTAGGACTTCCTAACTGCTCTCTTCTATGTTATTTTCAATAATCTATGAAATCTAGATGTGTCACTGCAAAGGGCTATCCCACTTGGATTTGGGATATCCCACTTTCGAGTTAACTGATCTTTTCCATTTCATACATGAATGACACTAATAGGATGTGTTTTAATCTGTAGGCTCAGGGAAGAATTTATGGAAAAATTAAAGAAGAAAACTTTGTTAGTCCTAAAGAAGAGGTGAAACTTGAAGCTCATATCAGAGTGCCATCCTTTGCTGCTGGCAGAGTTATTGGAAAAGGAGGCAAAACGGCAAGTACTTCAGCAAAACCTGTGCAGTGGTATGAAAGGGAAAGCGTTGAAAGGTACTTAGGAGTTCCAAGTCCCCGAATTTTGGCTAATTTATAAAAAGCAGGACCATCTTGACCAAGGTTTGGAGAAGACTGCCTTTTGTTTCCTGTCTGAGTGTTGGCGCCAGCTATTAGTGAAAGTAATGCATCTCTTTCAGATCACTTTGTGTGAGAGGATTGTCCTATATTTATAAAGAGCATTTAACATTCTCTTGATAAAACTTCAGCTTTTTATTGAACAGACACTTAACAGGAATTTTAAGAATTTCATCTACAGCTCATTACATCTGTAATGGAAAAAAAGCAAACTGTTTCTAGTTTCTAATACATATAACTTATAAGTGGGTTTCAAAGCTATTTATAATTTTGAAGTGACCGAGTACATACACTTTGGAATCAGACTCAGGATTTGAATCTGGTTTTGCCATTCACTTGTGTAACTGGACAAATCAATTTCTTTGGATGAGGCTTAATCATCTTGAAATGGGGATAATTCTAATAACCTCATGGAATTACTAGTGGACTAAATGAAATTTGTAAAGCCATACATAGCTCAGTGTCTGGCACACAGTAAGTGCTCAGGAAGGAAGCTTTTAAAACTGCCACTTAATGTGATTTATATTTATCTCTTTCAGGTGAATGAACTTCAGAATTTGTCAAGTGCAGAAGTTGTTGTCCCTCGTGACCAGACACCTGATGAGAATGACCAAGTGGTTGTCAAAATAACTGGTCACTTCTATGCTTGCCAGGCAAGTGGGCTCTAAAATGGATAAGCTTTTGTATCTTTCTCAATTGGAAGCGATTTTCCCACAGGTGCTCCTACCTGATAGAATTAGTTAAGATTGTTTGATGATTAAGACTTTTCATCTCCCTTTTAGCAGGTGATTTCAGAGACTACTAGCAAACTGACTAGTATGTATCTTTAATCATCAAATGGATTTCTATTTGAAATTGTTGAAATGAGGGGTTACAATAACTTTTAGTAGCTTTTCATCAAGTAGAATTTCAAAGCTCTGTCCTTTTCCAGGTTGCCCAGAGAAAAATTCAGGAAATTCTGACTCAGGTAAAGCAGCACCAACAACAGAAGGCTCTGCAAAGTGGACCACCTCAGTCAAGACGGAAGTAAAGGCTCAGGAAACAGCCCACCACAGAGGCAGATGCCAAACCAAAGACAGATTGCTTAACCAACAGACGGGCGCTGACCCCCTATCCAGAATCACATGCACAAGTTTTTACCTAGCCAGTTGTTTCTGAGGACCAGGCAACTTTTGAACTCCTGTCTCTGTGAGAATGTATACTTTATGCTCTCTGAAATGTATGACACCCAGCTTTAAAACAAACAAACAAAAAAGGGTAGGGGAGGGAGGGAAAGAGAAGAGCTCTATGCACTTCCCTTTGTTGTAGTCTCACAGTATAACAGATATTCTAATTATTCTTAATATTCCCCCATAATGCCAGAAATTGGCTTAATGATGCTTTCACTAAATTCATCAAACAGATTGCTCCTAAATCCAATTGTTACAATTGGATCAGAATAATTATCACAGGAACTTAAATGTTAAGCCATTAGCATAGAAAAACTGTTATCAGTTTTATTTTTACCTAACACTAACATGAGTAACCTAAGGGAAGTGCTGAATGGTGTTGGCAGGGGTATTAAATGTGCATTTTTACTCAACTACCTCAGGTATTCAATAATACAATGAAAAGCAAAATTGTTCCTTTTTTTTGAAAATTTTATATACTTTATAATGATAGAAGTCCAACCGTTTTTTAAAAAATAAATTTAAAATTTAACAGCAATCAGCTAACAGGCAAATTAAGAATTTTACTTCTGGCTGGTGACAGTAAAGCTGGAAAATTAATTTCAGGGTTTTTTGAGGCTTTTGACACAGTTATTAGGTAAAAAAATAAAATGTTCAAAGATACGGAGCAGTGCCTAATATCTGGAGAGCAGCACTACCATTTATTCTTTCATTTATAGTTGAGAAAGTTTTTGATGGTACTAACAAAGTGGTGGCAGGAGGTTTTGGAACGGCTGGTTTAAATGGCTTCAGGAGACTTCAGTTTTTTGTTTAGCTACATGATTGAATGCATAATAAATGCTTTGTGCTTTTGACTATCAATACCTAAAGAAAGTGCATCAATGAAGAGATGCAGGACTTTCAACTAGTTGGCAAAAAGCAAGCTTTAGCTTGTCTTACAGGATGCTTAGTTTGCCAGTACACTTCAGACCAATGGGACAGTCATAGATGGTGTGACAGTGTTTAAAGGCAACAAAAGGCTACATTTCCATGCAGCCAGCACTGTCATGAGCCTCACTAGTATTTTGAAGATTTTTAAGCACTGATAAATTAAAAAAAAAAAAATTAGACTCCACCTAAAGTAGTACATAAGTATAGCAGGACTTCTGTATACTCTGCAATCAGTTCTTTGGGAAAAAAAAAAAAGTCAAAAAATAGAGAATAAAAGTTTTTGGGATATAATTTGAATGACTGTGAAAACATATGACCTTTGATGCCGAACTCATTTGCTCACTCCTTAGCTTGACAGCAAAGTCCAGTGTGTACAATTATGTTGGGTGTGGGTGGTCTCCAAGGCCACGCTGCTCTCTGAATTGATTTTGAGTTTTGTTTGTAAGATGATCACAGTCATACTACACTGATCTAAAGGATATATATATATCCCTTTAAAAAAAATCACTGCCTCATTCTTATTTCAAGATGAATTTCTATACGGACTGTTTTTCTGAAGATCGTATCAACTAGACATTTTGAAAATGATTTAAAATGTTTTCCTTAATGTTCTCACAAAACAAGTTTCTTTTGTAGTTTTAACCAAAAAAGTGCCCTTTTTGTCACTGGATTCTCCTAGCATTCATAATTTTTTTTTTCATACAATGAATTAAAATTGCTAAAATCATGGACTGGCTTTCTGGTTGGATTTCAGGTGAGATGTGTTTAAGGCCAGAGCTTTTCTCATTTTTTTTTTTCCCCAATATTTGATTTTTAATCAATATACACATAGGTGCTGCATTTATATCTGCTGGTTTAAATTCTGTCATATTTCACTTCTAGCCTTTTAGTATGGCAAATCGTATTTTACTTTTACTTAAGCATTTGTAATTTGGAGTATCTGGTACTAGCTAAGAAATAATTCTATAATTGAGTTTTGTACTCACCATATATGGATCATTCCTCATGTATAATGTGCCCCAAATGCAGCTTCATTTTCCAGGTATCTTGACGCAGAATAAAGTTTTTCATCATTTAGGTGCAGTTTGTTGTGTAGTACATTTTATTTTTGGTTTTCAATTGTATGTGAACATTCTGAATTTGAGTTTTTCAAACTCTATAGACAGATTTCTGTTATACCATGTCCAGCCATGGTACTTAATGTGAACCTTGATAATACTCTTGCATATGTTAAGAACTAGAGCTTTCAGAGTTTTTCCTAACACTTTGTTTACTTTCTTTTGTTACTGGAGTATTGTGGAAGGGTTACCTAAGTCCTCCTAGAAGAATATTATCACCTCAAAGAAAAAGTATAAAAATAGGACCAGTGGGCTGGTGGTACATTTTATGTTACTTTTTAAAATTTTTGCCATTCCATTAAACAGGGTTAAGATTTACATTTAAGCTAAATTAATAAAAATCTGAGCAGAGAACTCAATCACAGGAGCCAGTGCTAACTCACTCCAGGAAATTCTGATGACATTTCTAGGATAAAGGCAGTGTGTCATAAGTTTTGGGTACAGTGTACTGATTTTTGGTTGCAGGTATTAGCCCACTTATCTACAGTCTCTGCATGTCAGTTAGCAGGAGTGCCCATGAAGTAGACAAGCCTTGTCCTAAGAGCAGCCTAACCAAGGAGGCGGGCTTTAGGAGCTGTATTTTCCAGTAAGTGACTCAATCCAAATCTGAAATGACTAAAGCAGTGCATAAAATATTTTATTCACATTTGAACTCCACTGGAGTCACAGATGAAGTATCATCTTCTTCTATTCCAAGAATGAAGTCTTCAGGTACTGTCTCAGGTGCTATCTGAGCTAACTGGTCATCATAAGAACGTAGGGTCCATAATTTCTCTAATTCATAGATTTCTCTGGTTTCTGGAAGCATCAAATGAATCACCATGCTGCCTATCAGGGACAGACAAGAGATACAATGAAGGAATAGTTAATTTGCTTTTATTTCTTACCTTACAACACACACTGGCTAGTATAACTCTAGGAATAAAGCAGTGGTTCGCAAGTGTGGTTCCCAGATTAGTATCACTGTGGACCCCATCCCGGTAAAAATACCACAGAAATGATGCTATGCCTTTCTCAGCGTGCCTTATAGGAGGGATATGTCAATATATAACATTGCTGGTGATAGTAACTTTATCAAAGAGACTAAAGGTGGTCAGGTTTCTCTTCGGTGATAATTCTCCATGGGTAACACACTTACGCACATCTTTTGTGCAAAACACTGCATTTTGTTCTGACTACCCATGAATGTTTTGTATTGTGAATATTCTTAACAGAAAGATACTGCCTCCCTCCAGGGCAAAGGGCAGCTTTGCTTACAACAGCATTTCTCAATTGGGTAATACTGGTAATGTTTAGGGTCATTTTTGATTGTCACAACTGGAAAGGAGGATACTGCTAAACATCCTACCGTTGCACAAGAGACACCCCACCCCACGTGCAAAATGACCTGGTCCAAAGCGGTTAACAGCGACAAAAGTGAGAAACCATCAGAGCAAAGGCAGCCCTGCTTCTTGCCAGTTACGAAAAGGCCGAGACACCCTCATCTGAGTTCCTGTTTTACAACTGTGTGTGCTGGTGTCATCTGGCCCATGTTGCCCTATGGAATCCAGAACTCAGGAAACCAGTGCAAAATGGATGCTGGCAACTGCTGTAATAAACTGTCCTTTGTCTCTAACCCTCTAATAGTCTTGGCTTTTACCAGTATCCATGAAAACTGGCGGGACAACTTATTAGCTTACCAGTAGAATAAAATCTCAAGATTCCTCAGTTCTTGACATACAGCTATGTTTTCCCCTTTGTAAATAGTATCTTGTTGGGAGGTGCTTTGAAACTATGTACACATTAATACCCAAAGTTGTTAGACCTTTTCAAAATTCTAGTCCTCTGCTCTTGTCCTTTCTTGTGCCTGGAATAACCTCATCCTCATCTATGCACCCCAGCCCCCAAACCTTCCTCTACCACTACTAAGGAATCTCTCCCGCCTCTACTATGTTACTCTGTTGTCCACCACCTTCCTGATCTGTATGGCTAGTAGATACACACCATGTAGTATATATCTTCCTCCAGATGCGCATTACCTAGGGTACTTTGGCTTGGTTAGGTGAAAATTCTACATGTGAATAAGACCACCTGGATTATAACTAAAAAAGCTTTTGTTACCTTAAACACACTTCAAAAATCTTACCTGGGAATACATTCATCAATTTGATCTCAATCCTTTTGCAACTGAAAACAACTCAAGATTAGTGCAGTACCATCAGTTACCTGTATAATACGCCAGAATAACTTACCAAAATCCACGCACATCCAGTCATCAGTGTCCTTCCCTTCAATCTTAACATGAGGGTCATGTTTACATTTCAGGTGTTTGTACTGCAAAAAGCCACATGGTTTATTAAAGGAAGAGGGGAAGGGGGAAGCCTGTTCTTGCTGAAGGTCTGTTGGTTTTTGTTTGTTTTTAATCTTACCCATTTCTCATTGCTATACTTTGCCCTGTGATGAATAACTTAGGGAAACTATTTCTCCCTCTAAATCTTATCCACTTTCACCTCTCCCCTGAATTCTCCTGCCCCAGCCCTTCTGAGAGTGCCTCTGAGGCTGAAAAAGCTCAGTCAGCATGTGGTACCCACCTACATCCATCACTTGTGTTCCTCCCAGATTCCCTTCACCTTTAGGGACTGCAGATACTACCTTCTGTTTATAAAGCCAGGTTGTCTCAGTGCCACTGATTTCACCTCATCTGCCTTCATGACAAGTTAATGGAACCCTGTCATCCTATAAATGTGTTCAGTTATTTTGTTAAGACAGATATACTAATATCAAACAAGATGGCCATTAAGTAAAAACTGTTAAAAGAGACAAAGGACATCTCATATCACCCCAAAATCAAAGGAAACGATAATTAGGGCAGGAAAAAGACAAAATCAATGAAACTAGGATTTGGTTCTTAGAATGACTAAGAAAAAAGACAACTAAAATCTGAAAAGAAAGAGGTGACACTACTGATTTTAGAGAAATAGGATGGTAAGAGTACTATGAGCAACTGTACACCAAACAACTGGGTAACCTAGATGAAACAGCAAAATTTCTAGAAACACACAACCTACCGACTGAATCACGAAGAAATACAAAGTTTCAATAGACCGTTAACTAGTTATGGGGATTGGATCAGTAATCAAAAATCTGTCAACAAAAGTCCTAGACCAGACAGCTTCCCTGGCGAGTTTTACCAAATATTTAAACCAGAATGCAATACTCAAATTCTCCCCAAAAAATGGAAGAGCAGGGAACACTTCCTAACTCATTCCATAAGACCAATACCCCGATGAACATTTGATGCAAAAATTCTCAACAAAATACTAGCAAACCAAATTCAGCACCATATTAAAAGGAGTATAGACCATGACCAAGTGGGATTTATCCCTGGAATGCAGGGTGGTTCAACATATAAGAACGGATCAATGCAATAATACCACACTAATAGAATGAAGAAAAAATCTATATGATAATCTGAACTGATGCAGAAAAAGCATTTAACAAAATTCAATACCTTATGACAATAAAGCACTCAACAAAGTAGGCATAAAAGGAAATTACTTCAACATCATAAAGGCCATGTAACAAAAGCACACAGCTAATATATTCAGTGATGAGACTGAAAGCTTTCCTGTAAGACCAGGAATAAAACTAAGTATGCCTGCTTTTCCTACTTCTATTCAACACAGTATTGGAAGTTCTAGTCGGAGCAATTCGTCAAGAAAAAAAAAAGGGTATCCAAATTGGAAAGGAAGAAGTAAAATTATCTCTGAAGACAATACAACTTCACATGTAGAAAAGCCCAAAGATTCCACAAAAAAAGCCCAGTTAGGACTACTAAACAAATTCAGCACACAAAAATCCATCGTATTTCTATACAGTAACAATGAGCAACCTGAAAATAAAGTTTTTAAAATTCCATTTATAACAGAATAATCCTTTTTTTAAATTGAGACATTCTTGTTTTGAGTTTTGCTCTTGTTGCCCAGGCTGCAGTACAATGGCTCAATCTCAGCTCACAGTAACCTCCGCCTCCCGAGTTCAAGCGATTCTCCTGCCTCGGCCTCCCAAGTAGCCAGGATTACAGGCATGTACCACCACGCCCGACTAATTTTATGTTTTCAGTAGAGATGAGGTTTCTCCATGTTGGTCAGGCTGGTCTCGAACTCCTGACCTAAGGTGATCCGCCTGCTTCGGCCTCCCAAAGTGCTGTGATTACAGACATAAGCCACCATACCCAGCCTAGCAGAATAATCTTAACCACAGGAGCAAAAGACTTGTACATTGAAGACTACAAAACACTGCTGAAAGAACTTAAAGATGCCAGTAAATGGAAAAATACTTCATATTCATGGATGGGAAGACAATACTGTAAAGATGCCAATACTACCCAATGCAGTCCACAGATTCAATGCAATCTATATCAAGATCACAATATTTTCTGAAGAAACAGAAAAATCCAACCTAAAATTTATATGGGTCCAGGCATGGTGGCTAACACCTGTAATCCCAGCACTTTGGGAGGCCAAGGCAGGAGAATTGCTTGAATCTATGAGCCAAGATTGTGCCACTCTACCACAGCCCGGGTAACATAAGCGAAACTCCATCTCAAAAAAAAATTATATAGACTCTCAAGGAACCCCAAATAGCCAAAACAATCTTGTAAAGGAAACAAAGTTGGAGTCTCGTATTTCTTGATTTCAAAACTTAGAACAAAGCTATAGTAAACAAAACAGTCTGAAACTAGCAAAAAGACAGACGTGCAGACTGACGAAACACAATACAGAGCCCAGAAATAAACCCTTGTGCATATGGTCAAATGATTTTCAACAAGGGAGCCAAGACCATTCAATGCACAAAGGACAGTCCTTCCAACAAAGGGTGCTGAGGAAACGGGTCCACATGGAAAACCTTACCGTCCACAAAAACTAACTCGAAATGGGTTAAATATCTAAACAGGAGTCCTAAAACTATAAAACTCTTAGAAGAAAATGGGGAAAACATGATACTGGTTTGGCAATTATTTACTGGATATAATACCAAAGACACAGGCAACAGAAGAAAAAAGAAATTGGACTTCACCAAAATTAAATACTTTTATGCATCAAAGGACACTCTAAAAAGAGTAAAAAGGCAACCCACAGAATGGCAGAAAACATCTGCAAGTCACATATTTGATAAAGGATTAATACCCAGAATATATAGAGAGCTCCTACAACTCAACAACAAAACAACCACCAACCTGATTTTAAAATGGGCAGAGAGTCTGGGCAATATAGTGAGACCCTGTCCCTACAAAAAAAAATTAGCTGGGCATTGTGGAGTAACTCCTACCATTCTACTTTCTGTCTCTATGAATTTGACGACGACTACTCCTCTAGTCCTAACAACTTGGGAGGCTGAGGTGAGAGGATCACTTGAGCCCAGAAGTTCCAGGCTGCAGTGAGCTATGACCACACCACTGCCCTGAAGCCTGGGCAACAAAGTGAGACACTTGTCTCTTTAAAACAAACAAACAAGCAAAGGACTTTTCTTCAAAGAACATATACAAATGGGCAATACGCAAAAGAAAATATGCTCAACATCACTAATCCTTAGGAAAATACAAATAAAAACCACAATGAGATTTCACTTCATGCCCATTAGGATGGCTATTACCAAAACCAGAAAATAAGTGTTGGTGAGGATGTGAAGACTGGAAACTGCACTGCTAGAGGAAATGTAAAGTGGTGTAGCCACTATGAAAGAATACAGGAGCTCCTCAAAAAATTAAAAACATTCAGCTTTGTGCTAGGCTGGTAAATAGAAAAAACAAAAATTAAAAACAGAATCACTATATGATCCAGCAATCCCATTTTTTTGCACATACCCCAAAGCATTAAGAGCAAGGACATAAACAATTTTTTTTTTTTTTTTTTTTTTTTGAGACTGAGTTTTGCTCTTGTCACCCAGGCTGGAGAGCAGCAGCACGATCTTGGCTCACTGCAACCTCCACCTCCCAGGTTCAAGCAATTCTCCTGCCTCAGTCTCCCAAGTAGCTGGGATTACCGGCACCCTCCACCATACCCAGCTAATTATTATATTTTTAATAGAGACAGGGTTTCACCATTTTGGCCAGGCTGGTCTTGAATTCCTAACCTCAGGTGATCTACCTGCCTTGGCCTCCCAAAGTGCTGGGATTACAGGCATGAGCCCAGCCTTTTTGTTTGTTTGGTTTTTTGTTTTTTGTTTTTTTGAGACAGCGTCTTGCTCTGTCACCCAGGGTGGAGTGCAGTGGTACAATCTCGGCTCACTGCAGCCTCGACCTCCTGGGCTCAAACAATCCTCCACCTCAGCATCCCGAGTAGCTGGGACTACATGCACACACCACCAAGCCCGGTCAATTTTTTATTTTATTTTTTATCTTTTTTGTAGAGATGGGGTTTCACCGTGTTGCCCAGGCTGGTTTCAAACTTCTGAGCTCAAGCAATCCACCCTCCTTGGCCTCTCAAAATGCTGGAATTACAGGCATGAGCCACTGCGCCCAGCCTCATGAACGGTATTTCTATACCCATATTTGTACCAGCATTATTCACAATAGCCAAAAGGTGAAGGCAATCTAAGTGTCCATCAGTGGATAAAAGGATAAACGAAATGTGGTATATACACAAGACAGAGTATTATTCAGCCTTAAGAAAGAAGGAAATTCTGGCACATGTTGCTACATGGATGAACCCTGAAGACATTATGTTAAGTCAGATAAGTCAGTCACAAATGTATGATTCTACTCTTATGAGATACTGAAAAGTAGTCAAATTCATAGAGACAGGCAGTAGAATGGTAGCTGCCTAGGGAAGGGGAAATGGGGAGTTATTGTTTAATGAGTTCAGTGTTTCGGTTTTGCAAGATGAAAAAAGTTCTAGAGATGGATGGTGGTAATGATTGCACATCAATGTGAAGGTACTTAAAGCTACTGAACAACACATTTTAAAATTACTAAATGGGCGGGGCACAGTGGCTCACGCCTGTAATCCCAGCACTTTGGGAAGCCGAGGTGGGTGGATCACAAGGTCAGGAGTTGGAGACCAGCCTGACCAACATGGTGAAATCCCATCTCTACTAAAAACAGAAAAATCAGCCGAGCGTGGTGGCGGGTGCCTATAATCCCATCTACTCAGGAGGGTTAGGCCAGAGAATCACTGGAATCCAGAAGGTGGAGTTTGCAGTGAGCCGAGATCGAGCAACTGCACTCCAGCCTGGGTGACAAAGCGAGACTCCACTCCAGCCTGGGCAACAGAGTGAGACTCTGTTTCAAAAATAAAAATAAAAAAGATTCAACGGTAGGTTTTACGTTATATATATTTTACCACAAACAACAAAACTTTCTTGCCTTTGCATTTCTCTCCTCATCTAAAATCTTTGTAAAGGTAATTTCTATCTATCTCTTTCACAGAAGCTTCTCTGTAAAACCTCCCATTCTTTTTACATCCCCAAGTCCAGTGGTCACTAAGTCTTCTTACTCCATCCCACCATTACATCTGATAGAGACCCTAGTATGCTGTCTTTATATCTCTTCTTTATGCTTTCCTAGTTCTCTTCCTCTCTCTCCAGTTACCCCGTTTTTGGCATCTTTTTCTGCTCTGTCATGTTGCACCAGGGTTTTGTGTACAGCCCCCACCTTTTTATTTTACAACCGTTCTCTATACAATCTTGGCTACTCTTTTGGTCTTAACTGCCTCCTCTATGACCAATTCTCAACAGACTAAGAAAGGTATGATGGCCCTGTGGAATGGTACCAGAGTCAGCTGGAGGCTTCCAAGTAGTTTCTTCCTCATTCTGATTCATATTCAGTGCAAATGGAAAACAATCCCCCTTTCTTTCCTCAACTAGACCTGTAAGGGCAAGGACTACAGATCTTTATTGTTCTTACCTTCCCAATACCCCGTGCTTGGGAACAGTGCTTGGGAACACTGGGCATGCTGAAATATTTGAATTAAACTCCAGGCCAGCACTGTCCAATAGAACATTCTACAATTATGAAAATGCTTTATGGCCATCCCATATGGTAGCCATTAGCCACACGTGGCTATTGAGCATCTGAAATATAGTTAATATAACTGCAGAACTGAATTTATATTTTATTTATTTTTTTTGAGACAGAGTCTCGCTCTGTCACCAGGCTGAAGAGAAGTGATGCGATCTCGGCTCACTGCAACCTCCGCCTCCCGGGTTCATGATTCTCCTGCCTCAGCCTCCGGAGTAGCTGGGATTACAGGCACACGCCACCACACCCAGCTAATTTTTGTATTTTTAGTAGAGACAGCGTTTCACCATGTTGGCCAGGATGTTCTTGATCTCTTGACCTGGTGATCCACCTGCCTCAGCCTCCCAAAGTGCTGGGATTACAGGCGTGAGCCACCACACCTGGCTGAATTTATATTCTAATTTATAATTAAATAGGCACATGTGGCTAGTGGCTACCGCAATGGATACTGCCTTTAGAACTCCCTCTGGTTATACTGTCTTCTAGCTTGCCTCGGGTTATAAAATATTATCTTCCGGCTGGGCGCAGTGGCTCATGCCAGTAATCCTAGCACTTCAGGAAGCCAAGGCAGGCGGATCCCCTGAGGTCGGGAGTTCGAGACCAGCCAGGCCAACATGGAGAAACCCATCTCCACTAAAAATACAAAATTAGCTGGGCGTGGTGGCACATGCCTGTAATCCCAGCTACTTGGGAGGATGAGGCAGGAGAATCGCTTGAACCCTGGAGGCAGAGGTTGCCGTGAACCGAGATCGCGCCATTGCACTCCAGCCTGGGCAACAAGAGCAAAACTCCATCTCAACTAAAAAAAAAAAAAAAAAAAAATCTTCCTTGCGGTCAAAAGAGAGAAGAATTAGGAATATCCTAACTCAACAGGGCTGGATATTTGTTCCCATACCTTTCACTATCAAAGAACATAAAATGAATTCATGCAAATTCTGAAAATGTGGGCTGCTTCTGTAACTTTGTATGATGGGTTTACTCTCTTAAGTGTTGCTCCTTGGCCTGATGCACTGTCACTATCCCACTCAGTTAATGGTCCAAAAGAGAAAAGAAAGCATCCTACCATTTTCACAATGTAGAAGGCCATGGCATGTAAGTGTCGGGTAGAAGTTCCACTACCAATCACAAAGTAATCTGTGTATCTCATTTCTGGAGGAACCTGGATCACACAAATGTCTCTCGCATTTTCTTGCCTCAGAAGTGAAACCATTATATCGATGTCAAACTTGGGACCAGTATGATCTGAAATGCACAAATAGTTGTTTGTATCAGGACGGCCAAGCAGATAGACCTGTATGCACCCAGAGATGCCGGCAGCTGACTGTTCCTCCATGAGGGTGTTTAGATCCAAAGTGTTTTTACAGACAGCAGGGCAAAGGCCTCCTGGAAGTTCAACCTAGACAGCAGTATCATAGCACTGCTCAACTTTTATGGTCAGTGCTCAGATTACGCAGAGCCACTATACATCCTTCACCATTAACCATATGCAAGTATAACCAGACATCAGTGACAAATGACTTTCTATTCACTAATACTTAAAAGGAGCAATACACCACAAACACAGAAATGCTGTACAAAGAAAAACAGTGCCACAATTGGGTAGGAGGTGATATCCTGGAGCATATTACATTGAATCTCAGTCATAACGTGTCACAGAATTGTGAGCTGGAAGGGCTCTTAGATATACCTGGTCCACAATCTTCAATTGAGAGATGAAGAAACCGAGGCCTAGCAGAATTACTGTGGCCTAAGGTCAGTCACTGAAAAAGCTACATTTTTAAGTAATTATTATTTTGAACCTTTAAGTTTTCATATAAAGCCACTGGGTTATTAACAACTGTTACCTGTGAAAATCTAATTTTTTTTCCCGTAAAGATTTAGATACTCTGATCTTCAGCTTGGAGTATTACAGGTTGTAAATTTAAAGCTCGCCCAAGTTCTAAAGCCGACTCCAAAGGACCTAGTAGCTAAGTCCACTAAGGCCTCTCCCTCTCATACTCTACATTCTTAGATGTAATCTGTTTATCATTCTTAAGTTTCTAAAAACGTCAGCAATAACTAGAGGATATTAACTTGGACCCATCTAATACTGGTGCTTCCTACGCACCCCTTCGCACCCAGACCCTAGAGCTCCTCAGAATCCTCAAGCCCCAACAGTCCCCACAAACCCATTTTCCAGGATCCTAGGAACAGAGTGAAAGGAGGTGAGGACGGTAAGACTGTGATGCCAAGGGTGGGAGGTGGCCGTCCGGGAGGCTGGGATTTTGCAGTTCATCTCTTGCCCTCAGTTTCTTCACTGTGAAAAGGGAAAGTTGGCGCCAACAATCTTTGAAGTCCCTACCAGCTCTGGATGTGCAGGAGCTTTGTGACTCCAAGAGAAATGCACAAAGAGGGGAACCCAGAGCCACCTTGGCTGAGACCTGACTACAGACTGCCCGGAGAAGGTCGCCTTCGTTCTCCTCCACGCCCGTACCTGCCGCGTCCGATTCTGGGCGTCCCTCGTCGACCGTCCTCTCCGCCCGCTCCTCCAGGCCAGGCTCGCTGTGCAGGCCGCGGACAAAGTTTGGGGTCTGGCAAGCCCGGCAGAACGCTGCTCCTACGGGAAGCCGCTGCATGGCCAGCAGCTGAAGCCCGGGCTCAGCTCCAACCGCGCACCCCGCCACCGAAGAAACCGCTCTGCGCCACATTAGTGGCGCGAGCAACCGCGCCACACACCCGCTCGGCCCCATGGCAGTAGCCTCACGTCGGCGTCGCTGGTGGGTGGCCCTTCAGGGAGCCCGGCCTGGAAATTCTACGTCAGATGCGTGGGCGGAGTCAAGGCCTGAAGGACGGGCCATGGGCGGAGTCTGGAGCTGGCGAAGACGGCAGTGACCCGGAAGAGCTACTTGGGGATTAGGACGTGCAGGAATAAAGAACTGGTGTTGCTTGCCCAGCTTGGTTTACCTTGTGTCGCAGTGGCGCACTACGTTGTCACTTTTTTGGACTCTGTCCACTAAGCCTCATAAAGGCAATAATTTTTGTTTCATTTTTAACTGTTCTCTCCACAGCACCTAAAACAGTTCCTAGTACTAAATGTCCAGAAGTTGCTGTTAATCTGATTAGGCTGGGATTAGGACATATAATTTACCCTCTCTCATTACTAAAAAATATTCAAGATTCGCTTGCAAATTTGAAATCCCACGAGGAAAGTCTGTTACCCTGGGCTAGAGTGGGGTGGGAGGCAGAGGCGTAAAGGACCATTTGGAAACCGTTCTTAGGCCAGCCCATCTACACCCGCCGTATGGAGGAGTTCACGTCCAGGGGCGGCACTGTGGGGACCAGCTCTGTGAGAATGAGGAATTCTGAGGTACCGTTGCGGTATTAAGTCATTGGACTTGAGAACTGCAATAGATCCTGGGCGCGGGGGAGGGGGGGAAGCGGGGCGGGGGGTTGGAGGGCATGGGGCTCGGCAGGGAAGCAACTTGCCCAGGTCATACACTTACTGACCGTGTCAGAATCAGAAGCCAGTTTTTGGCTTCTGAACTCCAGGCCTGCTAACTGCTGAAAGGCAGGCTTCATAGAGAGCAAATATTTCAAATGCCTGAAACAGTGCCAAACACATAGCAGGCACTCCAAAAATGTTTGCTATATTATTTTAAATAATTCCAAGCATTAATTTTGGGAAGTTTTTTTAAAAAATACAGAAATTAAGCATTTGTATATATCACACCAGATATGTACAATCACTTCAAGGTATTTCTGAAAAGAAGAAAGACATTACAGATTAAGTTTCCTCAGTCCAATTTTAGCTCCATCCTCAATTCCATTTTTCCATAGGCATGAACTTGGCGTTTCTCCCAGCTTTTGGCATCCATTCTGTGTTCCCATCCTTCTCTGAACATCCCAGACCTGCTTTACCACCTGTATTTGCCAGCTCATTTAATGGGTCATCATCCCTTCAAATCTCCCAAACCCTGGATTTCATTCAGTCCAGGATCTTCATACAACAAACGATTCTGTTGTCAAAATCCTGCTTATGTTACCTCCAAAATGTTTTTGTGAGTCCAGCTTCTTGTCTTCATGTCCACTGTTTCTTCCTTAGTCTAAACCCTTATTAGTTCTTGCCTGATTACAGAGACCACCTCCTACCTGGCTTTCCTGTCTCCAGTCTGTTTCTACTCTTTTCATCCTCCATGCTGCCCTTCTATCCACTACAGTCATTTTCACTTCTCTGCTTTTTGCTATTTTTCAAACTCACCATACTTTTTTTTTTTTTTAAGAGATGGGGTCTTACTCTTACTCTTGTCACCCAGACTGGAGTGCAGTCGCACAATCATAGCTAACTACATCCTCAAACTCCTGGGCTCAAGCAGTGCTCCTGCCTTAGCCTCCCAATTAGCTAGGACTATAGGCATGTGGAACCATGGCCAGCTAATTTTTGTTTTTAATTGTTTTAAAGACAGGATCTCACTATGTTGCCCAGGCTGGTTTCAAACTCCTGGCCTTAAGCAATCTACCTCCCTGTAGCCGTGAGTACAGGCACAAACCACCATGCCTGGCAACCTCACCATATCTTTCAATGCCAAGCTTTGCATATACTTTTTTTTTTTTTTTGAGATGGAGTCTCACTCTGTCACCCAGACTAGAGTGCAGTGGCACCATCTCGGCTCACCACAACCTTTGCCTCCAGAGTTCAAGCGATTCTCCTGCCTCGGCTTCCCGAGTAGCTGGGATTGCAGGCATGCGCCACCACACCCAGCTAATTTTTGTATTTTTAGTAGAGACAGGGTTTCACCACGTTGGCCAGGCTGATCTCAAAGTCCTGACCTCAAGTGATGTACCCACCTCAGCCTCCCAAAGTGTTGGGTTTACAGGTGAGACACTGTGCTTGGCCACTACTCTTTTTAGAGCACCCTTTTCCCATTTTTTCATATGACAAACTCAGACTCACTCTGTAAGATATACCTTAAGCATTAAGATATCTCCCCCCTACTCTCTCAGATGGTCCCTCAGAAACCCCTCATCCCTTTGTTCATAAATGTCTTTAATATTTACTATGTTTGATTGGATGATACCCCACTAGAAAAGACTTAAATTTAATTCCACCTCTTCTGTTTATTAGCAGTATACTACTGAAATTCTTAATCTGAGCCTTAGTTTCCTCATCTGAAAATAAGGGAATGATACCTTCTTCACAGAGTCTCAAAAGCTTGAATAAAATATGTAGCACAAATTATATACCATAGTGCTTGGCATGTAGTAATCATATGGAAATTAGTATCTATCTACAAACTGACCTCATGGAGAGGAAATGGCTTGAACCCAGTCATTATGATAAAGCTCATCAGAAAAAGACAACCAGGAACACACGTGTGGTCAAAGTTTTTTTTTTTTCTGAGTTGCTCTGTCACCCAGGCTGGAGCGCAGTGGCGCAATCTCAGCTCACTGCAACCTCCACCTCCCGAGTTCAAGCAATTCTTCTGCCTCAGCCTCCTGAGTAGCTAGGATTACAGGTGTGCACCACCACGCCTGGCTAATTTTTTTTTGTATTTTTAATAGAGACGGGGTTTCACCATGTTGGCCAGGCTGGTCTTGAACTCCTGACCTCGTGATCCTCCCACCTTGGCCTCCCAAAGTGCTGGAATTACAGGTGTGAGCCACCACACCTGGCCCAAAGTTAGTTTTATTAGCTTGCTGTAGCAAGGGAGACTGCATGCTATGGAGGACAGAGGAGAAGCTCAGGAAGAGGGACTAGAAGAGGCTTTGTTTAGGGCTTGTGCTTATGCTCAGTGAGTCTGAGACCAGAGGAAGTGGGGTCAGCTGTGGATTGGGTAGTCCTGAAGCACGGGAAGTTTAGGAATTTTGTTTCTCAGTAATCTTTGTTCAGGAGACAGGAGAATGTTCACAGGGGCTGGAGATGTCAGTGGTCAGTCACTCACAAGAGTCGTGTGGTCTAGGGAGAATCATGTCCTATTAAAAACATTATTTTAGGCTTCACTAGGAACATCACATTCTGATTAGCAGCAGGGCTGAGAAACAGACTCAGGGTCCTTGTTCCTTATAAGTATAAAAGTTAAGATAAATATGGAGTGCTGGCCCCCGGGAAGGATTGATGCTGAAGCTGTGTCTTTGTGTGGAATGATGTGAAATGACCCCCATGCCCAGTCTTCAGACAAGACCGGGACGTTTCATTCCCACTGAAATGATTCCAAACAACAGTTTCTCATCATCTGTGATTTTAGAGACAAGGTTTGCCAGCACTATGTATGTCTTTAATGTTAATGACCAACATCCATATTTACAGGTCATATTTCCTACCTGAGGAAAATTAGAGAGGTTCTCAGAAATGCAAAATGCCCCTTTCCCCCAAAACTGCCATCTACTCATGGGCTTGGACATAGTTTTCAGACCTTGGTTGCTTAGTAAAGGCAGAATCAGAAGTGGGGGTGGTTTGATAATCATTACCTTTGGGGTATGGAGCCAGAGGATTTAATCCAAAAGCAACTTCCTGAGAGAGTCAGGAATTATAAATTAACTACAGTCCATGAGTACAAGGACTTCCTGATTACAGACCCTAATTACATCCCTGGTGTGTTAATTTGGGAGCCTCCTATTTGCTGTGTTAGCAGCAGAGTCAAAAGGTTCCCAAATTTGTGTCCTGGGGCTTCTTGGGAAGGTGAGAAGCTGCAGTCACAAACACCTTCTCTGCAGCTAGCCCCAGGGGCTGGGGAGAAGGTGGGGGCCTACTTTGGGAGATGACACCACACAGACCTCAGGACCTTGCTTCAGAGAGAACAGAGAGGTAGGAAGTACAGAGAAGGCTGGGCCATACAAAGTCCCAAGGGCTGGAGAGAGATTGCACAAGCTTCCTGATGTGCCCATACTGGACCATCGGGTCCTTAACATCACACGTTACAGGACTGGCACATAATGTATAAATGACTAAATTTATATAGTTTTGATCCTGGGAAGCTTATCACTCCGACCTCTGCTTACTCCATGCATGAATTTATTATGCAGCTGTGGACCATTAACCCCCTTTTGACAGCAGAGGACCCTCAAATCCACATGTGCATCAAATATTGTCTTTGGGCCAAATAAGCATGTCCCTCACAGCAAATAGGTGTAGATTGCAATTCAATAAAAATTTAAAAGTGTGGCTTAGTTTCAAGTAGGTCTTTGTCATGCATGTACTGAATGACTTTTTTGAGACAGGGTCTCTGTCACCCAGGCTGGAGGGCAGTGGCATGATCATAGCTCACTAGAACTTCGAACTCCTGGGCTCAAGCGATTCTCCTGCCTCAGCCTCCTGAGCAGCTGGGACTACAGGCATATGCCACCATGCCTGGCTAATTTTTAACTCTTTTTGTAGAGACAGAGCCTTGCTATGTTGCCCAGGCTGGTCTCAAACTTCTGTCCTCAAGGAATCCTCCTACCTCGGCCTCCCAAAGTATTGGGATTACAGGCACCATGCCCAGCTCAATAATAGACATTTAAAGAGTCATACATTTTACGACAAAAGTTCATTATAACTAAAATGTTGGAATCACTGCTCACCCTACAACCTCAGCTTACCCTTCCCATCATCATAGGACAGCTCATTCCACCACCGGGCAGCTGTAGCTGCTGGTGAATATTCCCACCTCATGTAAACTTCATCCTTTTTCCTGGATTTCCACTGCCTTTGTACTGGTTCTGCCCTACAGAGACCTTGCAGAAGGAAGGGCCAGGATTAAAATGACCTCTCTTATAATCTATTGTAAATACTATGGATTTGTATCTTTATATTTTTAAAATTATTTTGTCCCCCACTTTGTAAATCTCATTGGGAGGAGGACAAAATCCTTTTAAAGAGAAGACAGATAGGGACTTTGTATTTTATAAACCTAGGAGTAAGGTACTAA